ATGCCCACAGCTGGGAGCTTTGGTTGGCATGACCTCCATCAGTACTCTGTTCTCTTCCTTCTTAGAACATTTGACTGCTTCCGTCCCGCGATCCCCTCCCGGCTCCGGCTTCAGCCTGCTTCCCTGGGTGCAGTGGGAGGCTGAGAATCACATCGCCCCGATTCCGGGCGTGTCTCCCTCCCCATGCTGGGCCCCAAAGCACGACTGCACGGAGGAGCCCACCGACAGAGAGCCCACCGACAGAGAGGCTCGCCCGGATGGCGGGAGAAAGTAGGGGCAGAGGCAGGCGTCTCGGCCTCGGAGCTGGGGATGCTCCTGGGTGCGAAGCGCCCCACCCTGGCAGCTCAGACTCCACTATAACACTTTGTAAAGAAAACGTGTGTTACTTCTTACGGCCTTGGGTGAAGCAACAGATTCTGAGGTACAATGCTAAATGCAGAAGCAATGAAATTTTAAAAATAGGTAAGGTGGTATCTTAGTTACTTCTCTCATTGCTGAGACAAAATACCTAACACAAAGAGGAAAAGTTTATTTTGGTTTACAGTTTATAAAGGTTTCCGTCCACAGTTAGCTGGCTCTCAGGCAGAGTGGCACGACAGAGGGGCTTCCCAGAGGAGGAACAGTCCATAGCGAGACAGGCAGACGACAAGAGCAGCAATCCTTCTTTTCCCTTTTATCCAACCCAAGGTACAAACCTTTTGGGTGGTGCCACCCACACTCAGAGAGGGCCTTTTGTTATCCACACCCAGAAATATGCTAAACCAATCAGTGGGCTAATTTGGTAACCCCACACCCTTAATCCCAGTATCACATACCCTGAAAAGCTCCACTTAGGAGTGTGTTAGGCTTTAGGGGGACATTTAGATACAAGCCATAGCGATTGGACTTTGTTAAAATTAAAAACATTTGTGCATCGAAGTAAGCTATCACGAAAGTGAAAAGATAACTCACAAATGGGAGAAATAATTTGGAAATCCTATTTCTGACGAGAGTCTAGCATTTAGACTGGCGTGGTGGCGCACACCTGTCTTCCCAGCTCTTAGGTTGAGACGGGAGGATGGCAAGTTCAAGTCCTACATGGACAACTTAGTGTAACCCTTTTACTTAGTGTAAAAAATAAAAACAGCTGGGAATCTAGCTCAGTGATACAGTGTCCCTGAGTGTGATCCTTAGTAACTCAAAAAGGCTGGTATTCAAAATATATAACAAATCTTATAACTCACCCACAAAAAGACAAACCAATTAGACGATAGTCAAAGGACTTAAAAAGATATTTCTGAAGAGAAGATATGAAAATGACCAGCAATGCCTCATATCCTCTGTCTAGAAAAGGGCACAGCGAGGGCTAAAGAAAAAAAGACAACAGAGGCTCGTGTGATTTCAGGGAGGCCGGGAGGTCAGTGGCTAAGTGAAAAAGTAACGAAGATACCGAGATCAAGACGCTCTGTACCATCCAGCATCTATTGGGTGTACACAGTAACAGGAGTCTCAATGCAAACTTCCTGCTGAAGAGGGTGGAGAGGAGAGCGTTCCCCCCCAGCAGGTGGGATGAGGTAAACTGAGAAGGAACGCCTCTTTCCCCAGGTGAAACCTTTCTCTTTTTGTATCACTGTTCAGGGCTCAAAGAACCAGGTGTCTTCGGCTGATGTAACCTTGCCGTTGATCACCACAGCTTCACCGACCACTGAGGCCTCAGCTGTGACTGCAGGAGTTGTGTTTCCGCGTGCCAGAGCCAGCTCTCAGGCAAGCCAACATTGGGCCTTATGCAGCTATAGTCATACTTTAATTATGAAATGATTTCCCCAAAACATTTATGTAGAAAGGCTCTCGACAATTCTGAAAAGGTTGGGGTAGAGCTCGGTGGGAGAGCAAGGGCTCAGCATGGGTAAATCCCTAGCACCACACGTGCGCGCGCACACACACACACACACACACACACACAACTATTGCCATGATGAAATCATAGAAATGGAGACAAAAATCAGTAGTTGTCAGGGGTTAAAGAAGGATTTTGAAAGGATGGAAGCAAGTGTTGCTATACAAGAGCAATGTGAGTGATGTTTTTGGGGAAAGAAAGGTTCCGTCCCTGGTCTGTGTCGATGTCAACATCCTGTTGTGTATCTGACTGTAGCTTTAGGAGGTGTTATCATGGGGAAGCAGTGCATGGGATGCCTCTGCGCTATTTCTTACAAATGCATGTGGATTTAGAAATATCTCAGAAAGTTTGATATTTAAAAAAGGTTGTGTACTGTATGATTCCACTGATAAGACAGTTTGGAAAAAGCGAGACTAGAGGGTCAACAAGACCAGTTGCACCATGATTGGGGTAGCTGACTACAAAGGGGCATTAAGGAAACTTGGAGGGGTTGATTGAAATATTTTATACTTGATTGTAAAGGTGGTCATAAAGGTCACATGATTCTGTTTTTTTTTTTTTTTTTTTTTTTTTATGGAGATCAAACTCAGGTCCTTGTGCTTGCAAAGCAGGTAATGGAACCACTGAGCTAAATCCCTGGTCCTGATTATATTTTTTAAAAACAGTATTTCTGCTACACCAAACACTGAATTTTACTGTGTAAATAAAATAATAGAAAAATAGTAAGACATATTGCAGTCTATTTTTAAATCTTTTTGTCGTTAGAATCCTCAAAAGCATATTAACTCTAATATTCCCTATCATAGTTTATTTTACCTTCGCCTGTCATTTGGCATTTTGGTTCCTTCCGTTCCCCTCCTCCCAAGGACACATTTGTAATACTTAGCGGAAGTTTTGATTATTCCCTCAAGATACAGACGTTAAATTACTGGATTAAAAGAGATGCACACTTGTGTGAAACATAATCCACGATGCTAGCGTTTTGTTCCGGAAACTGAGGCTCCCACTGACAGTCCTGGGAAAGCTGTCCCTCCCTGGTCAGTGCTCTCGTATTCTCGCTTTAAAGTCACTCGCCAATTTTGCCGCAGTCTCGGTCTTTGGCCCCGGTAGACCCGCGCCTCCTGCAGGGGCCCAGGCGAGAGCTGCAGTCTCCGCTCATCATCTCCCGCCAGGGCGCCACCGCCCAGGTCCTCAGATCTGGATCTGGTCACCAACCTCGCATCTGGAGCCACCAAGTCCTACCCTAACTGTCCTCTGCTCCGTCCCTCCGGCGTCTCCTGAGCCCTAGAACGAAGGCGCGGGGAGACCTCAGGCCCGCGGGCCCCGCCCCAGGAGCTGCCGGGCTCCGCCTCCCGCGCTGCTGCCTTTGCCAATGCGCCCGCGTCACCAGCCGGCGCCCCGCTGTCGATGAGCCCGGCTCAGGCATCTGCCCGCGGACGGAGCACCGTTACCGTTCCATAGGACAGGCCCACACCCAGCATCTCCAGCACTGCCTGCCAGTAAATGTGCATGGAGGAGGCAGTGAGTGTGTGCCCTCAGCTTGCCCTGCAGATCAGCCCTCCTCCCTCCTCCTTGTCCTCCTCCTCCTCCTTTTTCTCCTCATATGGGACTTGCTGATATATCACAGCATTTCCTTAAGTACTCATCAGAAAAGCCAAGGAGTGGTCCTTGTTCCTCACCCGCTGACTCTGTCCCCGTAGCTATCAAACTTTGGGTCACCAGGTAACAAACTGTCTGGCCCCCTCTCAGACCACCTTGATCCCAGGACCAGCAGACTCCAGCCCAGCCAACGAGCAGGGACATCCTGAGCTCTGTGCCTGTAATGCCCTTGCCCAGGTGGACCCTTCCATCCGAGGTCAGCTTCCATTCTACAGACATCACCCAGCATGGGACTCTCGCCTCTCCCTCCGGTCCCTCAGCACCTCAGCCCTAGCACGGAGCCTGACCCTGAGCGGGACTCTACTCAGCAGCACCCGTAGAACACTGGACACCCTCTGGTGCTGATTTACCCTCTGTGGTCAGAGGGCTGACACAGTGGAGGATCCATTCCTCCTGCTGGAGTGAGAGGTCACTGTGGCAAGGTCAGCATCCCCAAGACAGTTGTCAGGGCACAGTGTTCTCACCCAATCAGCACTGCTGAGTTTATCAGCTGGGGAGAGAGGAGAGGTGGAGCCCACTCAGCTTGGGCCATCAAGTGACCTTAGGGACCACCTCACCTCCCTGTTTGCTATTCCCATTTGTAAAGATGAGATAGTAGCACAACCTGCCTCAAGGGACCATGGGGGGTGTGGGGGTTGTGCCCCTACAACGACTTGTACCTATTGGGTACCAAGTACCGCAGTGATGAACAGGCTGTTGTGTCACACAGATTGCCACAAATTGGCCAGATGCTCGGTGCTTTGTCCAGGGACTTTCCAGCATGCACAAAGAGGAGGGGCTAGGGACACACGCCCTGTGGCCCACGGACCCAACCTGGGCCTTTCCCACGGAGGTGCCTTCACCCCGGGTGGGACTGAGGTCCTGGGTGTAGGGCAGGGCCTGGATGGGATCGTTGCTGACGTTTGGTGACCCAGGCGCCCCAGGGGAGGCACTGCTTGCAGCATAGGCTGGAGCGCACCACCGGGTGTTCCAGTGAGGGTGAGGGCTTAGACATGGCCATGAGCAGAGAGGGCAAGAGGAGAGGAGGAAGGGAGAAAGAGCTAAACAAGTCCCCGGCGTGGACAGAGGCCGCCGCCTACCACACAGGCAGCCATCCTGCCCTCCATTTCTGTCCTAGCCAGAGGACTGGGGGAGGCTAGCGAGGCAAGAGCCTTGAGCCAAAATTTAAGGGATGTCAGAAGACTCAAATTCATATTTTAATATAACCCTAAACATTAAACTAGGGGCCAGGGATTTAGCTCAGTGGTTCCGCTGCCTGCCTGGTAAGCACAAGGACCCGAGTTCAATCCCCAGTACCCCCCCAAAAAAAGAGAGAGAAAACATAATGTAATAATCAATGCAAACAAATCCACAATGGACAATACATCGACATTTTAAACCAGCTTCTGCTCCAGACCCTCTTCCTCAACTGTCCACGCCCAGCCCAGCCCCAGGGACACCCCACCAGCACCTTTGCGGCCCTTACCTGCCCCACATGTTCCGCAGGACAGAGGCTCCTGGGCCTGGAGTCCTGCTCCGTGGCGCCGCTGTCAGGGGCGGTGGGCCCTGGGTGCTCCTGGCCAGGCCCAGCAGCAGCAGCAGCAGAAGGCCCTTGCACCTCCCGGGGAGAAGGCCTGGCCCACGAGGGATCTTCCAGCCTGCCTGTTCCACCCCTGGCTTCATCTGTCCTCAGGCTCAAAGGCACCACTGGTCCCACGTGCGTTATGGGCCTCCTGGAGGACACGGCCCCGGCCCTTCTGCTGGCAGCAGCCACACCAGTGCACACAGATCCAGACGCATGGCTCGTCCTCAGCCTGGACGGCTTGAGTCCCCACCCCCAGCCCACCCTCTTCAGGGCCCCAGCTGTCATCCTTGGGGATCTGTCCCAGAGAGACATCTGCCAACTGCCCTGCTGTGGTTAGGACCAAGGCTCAACTCTGCCCACAGCAGCCATCACCTCTGCAGCCATAGGTGGGGTATATTTAACCCACTCTGGCTCCCCATTTCCCCAAGGGGCCCTGAGTCTGGAGCACGTCCCTGAAGGGGAGGATGTACAGTGATCTGTCGCTCAGGAACAGGATTCTCTCAGGTCCTTAGCTTAGGAGGTGGCGCGGGACTGGGGCTCTTCTATCCGCTGTGTTCTCTCTTGCACAATGGCCCATCCTCATGCTGTGGGTGGACTTCTTCTCCTACCTTTACTTGGTCCATACTTGCTCTGCAGAGCCTGTTTCTTTTCCTACCTTTAATAAAACTTTGCTACCATTAAAACACAGAGAGAGGAGAGAGAGACAGAGAGAGAGAGAGAGAGAAATAAAGGAGGCCGGGTGTGGTGGCACATGCCTGTAATCCCAGCACTTGGGAGGCTGAGGCAGGAGGATCACTGTGAGTTCAAAACCAGCCAGAGCTACATAAGTGAGTTCCAGGTCAGTCTCAACTACATAGTGAGACCCTGTCTCAAAAAACAAAACACAACAAAAAATAGTATAATAAAGGAGATGGGGGGGCTCAGAAATGCTAGAGTAAAAATTACCTAAGAAAATAAGAGTTAGGGCTGGGGACTTAGCTCAGTGGTTCCACCGTCTGCCTTGCAAGCACAAGGACCCGAGTTCGATCCCTGGTACAAAAAAAAGAAAAAAGAAAGAAAATAAGAGTAGTTTGTCCATGTGAAGCCCACTTTGAGTTTTCTAACAGAGGCTTACTGAAATTAGGCTCTTATCCTCCCACAGAGACTGGGAGATGGGCTTCTGCCTTCAGGTGTCGGATGTAACAAAGAGTAAATTCTTCATGTAGTTTTCTCAGACAGACATTTTGATGGGGTCTAGGGTCATCCTAGAGATGTAGTCTTGAACTGTTAGGAACTACGTTAAATGTTTGTTCAAATCTGTGTGGACCAAAGCCTAGTTGAAAAAGGGTCACTGGAACCTGGATGGAGTTTAGTCAAGGAATTTTCAGTACATACTAGCAATGACCTATAATTAAATAACAACGGAAAAAATGTACACTATGCACTGGCCTGTTATATAAAGCACTATACAATATGCTTACTCCTAAGCTTACTTAGTAATGAGTAGTAATACAGGAAGAGTAAACTTTCTACAGTACCAGTAATACAAAATAATAGGCATGTCACTGTGTTGGATGGAAAAAGTGAGAAAAAAATACATGTATGCACAGACTTTTCACTAACTATCAAATGCAAAATAAGGTATACTCACACTATTGCCAGCTTTTACAAATAATATGAAGCAAAAATGAACAAAGGAATTGAACAAAGGGAACTTGACTTAAAGAGAGAGTCAGAATCTATGTAGAAGCCCCCTGTAAGGCTGCCCTAAAACCCCGATGGATCCCCTGGACCTGGGTCTGGGCTGCAGAAAAGCAGCCTGCCCCTCCCACCTGTGCTTGAAGGGGCAACGCAAGGCTCCAGTGACTCACACTGATCCGGTGGCTCTCCAGAACCAATTAGCTCCGAGCTTGGGCAGGGCTGGCGCAGGAATGGAAAGGTGAAACATGGGCAGCTGCTGTGGCACCCTGGGAGGGCAGGACTGGCAAGATACCCAGTGCATGATTAGATAGAACTGACATGCAAGAAGGCAGGAGAGCCGGGTGTGGTGGCACACGCCTGCAATCCCCACACTCGGGAGGCTGAGGCAGGAGGATCTCTGTGAGTTTGAGACCAGCCTGGGCTACATAGTGAGTTCCAGGTCAACTCAACTACATGGTGAGACCCTGTCTCAAAAAAGAAAAAGGAAAAGAGCAAAGAGGACCAGTCCTGCTGCCTGACCTCACCACGCTGTGTCCTACTCGTCCAAAACAAAGATAAGCCGTCTGTTGCCTGTCTGGGAGAAATCCAACAGTTTGTGTCCATGCGTCCCTTCCCCATCCTGGCTCACTCTCTCTGTGCTACTTTTCTTCTTTCCCCTATTACTCATCTCTTTTTTTTTGTTTTGTTTTGTTTTGGTTTTTTGAGGCAGGGTCTCACTATGTAGTTGAGACTGACCTGGAACTCACTATGTAGCCCAGGCTGGTCTCGAATTTGCAGTGATCCTCCTGCCTCAGCCTCCCGAGTGCTGGGATGACAGGCGTGCACCACCATGCCCGGCCGACTCATCTCTTTTTAACCTATGTTATATTTTACAGTTGTTTTGTTTTCAAATTTTGTTTTGCTGGCTGTTTCCTGCTGCTAAAAATGAAAACTCCAGGAAGCACGATTCTAGCCACCTCATGGAATCACAGAAGATCAAAGTGTTTGGAACCCAAAAATTCACTCAGACATACATTCCTTTATTCACTTAACTCTCTTCCCACCCGGTGTTTATCAGACACATAACCGATCCTGCCCACTGAGAACTTGCGGACCAGGGCAGGCGGGGCCCTTGCTAAATAAAATCAGAGCTGTGTGGTAGGTGCTAAATATAGTTAGGAAAACAAGCTGTTTGCACATTGGAGGAAGTTCATAACTGCATAAAGCGGTGAAGAAACCATCTGCTCAAGGAAAGAGTTGAGGTCATTGTGGAAGCCAGAATGGGGCAGCCACCTGGGAACAGCACAAAGGAACAGGAAGTCTGTCTGTGTGTCTGTCTTTCTTTTTCTTTTTTTTTTGACAGGGTCTCACTATGTAGTTGAGACTGACCTGCAATTCACTGTGTGGCCCAGGCTGGTCTCGAACTCACAGCGATCCTTCTGTCTCAGCCTCCCGAGTGCTGGGATTACAGGCGTGCACCTCCACGCTCAGCTTTTTATTTCTTTGTTTCTTTCCTGTTTTTTGTACTGGGGATCAAACTGAGGACCTTGCCCTTGGAAGCCTTTCTGGCAAGTTAAACACTGTGAGCAAAGGTTCGGAGCCAACCAAATGAATCAGGTGCCTGATCAATTGGTGTTGAATTTAACGTGACGGAAATGGACCATAAGGGGTGGACAGGAAATGGATTTAGGACAGAAGCTGAGGCAGCCTTCATAGGTCATATCCTGGTCGGGAGTCTGAGTTTTGTCTCTTCAACCGAGCTGTCTTTTCACAAGCCGCAGACAGATAGTGACCACTTGGAACGTGGCTGGTCTAAACTGAGATGAGCCAAAAGTGTGGAAAACATACCATATTTCCAATGCTAAATACCCCAAAATAGTTTAAATGGTCTCATAATGGCTTTTCATATTAATTGCTCATTGAAATGATCATATTCGGGGCATATCATAGTAAATAAGTGTATACCACTGGAAATCATCTCACCTATTTTGTTTTCCTTTCCTTTTCTCTCTTTTTTTGAGACAGTGTCTCTGTATGTTCCCCAGGTTGGCCTTGAACTCCTGGGTTCAAGCAATCCTTCTGCCTCAGCCTCCCAAGGTGCTGAAACTATAGGTACATGTCACCATGCCCAGTTTTTGTTTTTTTTTTTTTTAATGTGGCCACTGGAGAATTGGAAATTGCATATGTGGTTTTCCTATATTTCTTAGTGCATGGCAGGCAGTCATGGGGCAGAGAACAGCAGTGGGGCAATGTTGGATCTCAGACTCATAAGATGAGGAGTCGAGTTTACAGGTGGCAGCAAGGGTGTGAGCAGGAGGCTAAAATGGTCAAGGTGAGAAATGATTCAGCTGAAAGCAAAAGATTGGACGGGGGAGAGAACAGCCCTGTAACTGACAAGGAGATGATTACGCTAGAATGTTGCTGCACACCCACGACAGGTAAGCCCAGGTTAAGCACTTTCTGTAAGTTACCCAGCCCTGTTAGTAGCCCCCTTACATATATGTAACACTGGCTTTTCAGCTTGCTCAGTTAATCTGTGTAAGGCCAGCCAGAGCCGAGACCTGTACTTGTCTGGTCTGAGGCCCGAGTGTAGGATATCATCGTCCAGTGAAGGCACTGAGGCAGGAGTGACGGGATGCAGGAGTCCAGCCCCACTTCCTGCTTTCTGTATTTCTTGGCCTGCCGTGAAACTGAAGATTAATAAAGAATAAAAGCAAAAGAGGCAGGATGCAAGCAAAAGACAGAGTTCCTGGGGACCCACCCGCCTGGGCTTTGAAACATGGACCCGCCCCTGCAAAAGCCTGCAGGAAGAACTTGGTGAGCTTGGGAAATAGAAGCAAAGGGCCCCTGGAGCACAGCAGGAGCTGAGGCTGCTGGAGAAAAGGCTGATATTGACGTGTCTACCTCTGAAGGACCTGTAGGCCTTTTTAGCAACGGTGAATGGATGTTCTCAGCCCAACTTGGGGTCACAGGAGAGGCGGTTTACCTGGAAGCTCCCTGAGTGTGAGGCAGGTCCATACACTTTGTGATGTCCTACGTACAGGTCCCGCTTTGCAGGGCACGTTCTGACTCACCACCCAGGGGTAGGGGTGTCACACCGTGGACCAGGGCTGTGGGGTCTTTCTTATCACCCCTCTCACCCAACAACACAGTGCGGTCCCACGAGACCATGACCCTTGTTGCCGTCACATCTCTCGTGGGCTCAAGATCACTGGGGTCCCCAAGCAGGAGGAATTGGGGAGGATCTTGATGACCCCATAAAGCATGGCTTGCCTGAAACCAGGAGGTAGGAATTAGCGATTCCCTAAGGCAGAGGTTGGTCAACATGTCACATCCAGCCCAGACCCGTTTGTTTCTGTAAGTTAATAGGAACACAGGCGCTCTCCTCTGTTCACATAGCATTTGTGGCTGCTATCTTGCTATAAGAACAGAATTGAGCAGTTTCAACAGGGACATTATGGCCTCCAGAGCCAAAATAATTCCTACCTGTTCCTTTACAGAAACTGTTTGCTGGTCCCTACCGCTCTCCCTTGCGGAAGAATAAGCACATCTCTCACGGAGACCAGTGGCTGACTCTCACTCTGGGAGCATTTGGCAGTATCTAGGCACACCCTGAGTTGGGGTTGGGGGCATCTGGCGGGCTACTTATCATATGATACTTCTTATCATACAGAAGACAGCCCTGTAACGACGATGAGTCTGGCCCAAAATGCCACTAGGACCAAGGTGGGACATTTTGCTCCAGACCTAGTCACGTGGTACCTGTCCTCCTCCCCAGAAGTCCGTTAAAGGCATTTTGTTAACCTTGTACATCCCGAAACTCCTGGACATAATCAGATGACAAAAGAGTGTCCTGTCCTTGGAAGGACGTCCCTCCCAAGGAGCTTTTATCAACCCCTTTCCTTCACGACTTCCTTTCTTTCTTTCTTTCTTTTTTTTTTTGTACTGGGGATTGAACTCGGGTCCTTGTGTTTGCAAGGCAGGCCACCGAACCACTGAGCTAAATCCCTGGCCCGCCTTCATGACTTTCAAGAGTAGGCACTTGAGAGTGCACTGTCTGTATGACCACGACTGACCAGTATGCTGGGACCTCAGCCCTAGTGTGGCTTTAGAGTCATCCTCTGAGATCATGTACCAGGCAGATCAAACTCAGAAAAACACCTTCCCAAGGCATAAACAGCTTTAATTCTGTAATCCGGCCACCAGTGGGGTTACAGCAACACTTCTGCACAAGGAAAGGGTGAGTGGTTTCCTCTTGGCTTGGCACAGACCCGTGGTCCCGTGCTCCTCCCCGCCCCAGGGTCCCCCAGCGAACCCACCTTCAGGTCAGGGTGTATGTGCCCTGGGTTCCTGGGACCCTGAAGCATCAGGATCCTGTCTCTCCTCCCTCTCCCTTTCCATTATTTTCTCCCTCTCTATGCCCTGGCTCCCCACGGCACAGTAATACACAGCCTCATCCTCAGGCTGCAGCTCCGAGATGCTCAAATATCCCCGGTTCTTGGCCACATCTTTGGATCCAGAAAAGCGAGGGGGGACCTTAGGGCCCTGGTGCTTGTCTGAGTACGAGAAGTATCTCAGCAGGAACCTTGGAGGCTGGCCTGGCCTCTGCTGGTACCAGAAGATGCTGTAAAAGCCAATATGATGGTCACTGCTCAGGGTGCAGGTTAGGCGGACTGCAGTTCCCAGGGAGGAGGAGGCAGACAGTGGCTGACGCAACACAGGCTGGGAACCGTAACCTAGGGACACAGAAGCACACTGGTCTCCAGGGCAGGGCAAGGGAAGGGAAGGGCCCGGGGCTTTGGGTTCTGGAGGTCCCCTCACCTGTACAGTAAGCCAGGAGCATGAGTAGGACAGGAGTCCGGGACATGGCGCTGGTCTGCAGAGCTCTGTGGCCCTCTTGGGCTGGACTAGCACCCTTCTCTCTACTTCAAGAGGAGGGGCCATTGCACCCGCGATTCCATTCCTGTCCCTGTCACCCCAGGTTCTCTTGGGTTTGCGGTGTCGGTTAGGGGAGCGGTCGGTCCTGTCCAATGAGCCTTTGAGGCTCTGGCTGGCCGTGAGGGAAATGGCTGAGGAGGAAACACCTGCTGGCAGCTCATGGACTGGTGCCCATGAGATAGGCAGGTTGGTGCAGAGCCCTGAGGGATGGTGGCCTTGCATACCCCTGAGGGAGCGGAGCCCCACAGAAATAAGTTTCTTGCCCAAATTTAAACGCTTGGTGAACCGGGAAGAGAGAATTACATCCACAGAGTGGTGAAAACGCTTGCTTCATACAGCAGAAAATTTGAGGGTCTTGGAAGAAATGGGGTGCTCTGTCCCATTCCAAACTCCACAGGGCCTTCAGCCTGGTTCCTCTCCTTCCTAGAACAAAATGGATTTACGGGGCCTCAAGAGCAGAGATGGGGGACCCGGCATCATGCCCCTCCCCACCCCCAAGTTACTAAGCCGGCACACTTTGACCCTCTTACAAACTAAACCACCCCTGCAGCGTTCATATATTGAAGCCATAACTTCCAGTGTGACCCGCTTTGGAAGGAAAGCCTTGAAGGAGGTAGTTAATGTTAATTGAGATCATAAGGATGGGGCCCTGATCCAACACAGCTGATCTATAAAAATGGGAACCGTGGGACCAGAGACAGACAGGCATAGAGACAAGATGGTAAGTGAAGTGGAGAGGAGCTGGTCATCTCCACGGCAAGAGAGGTCCTTCCCAAACACAGAGAGAGAGAGGGCCTTCCCTCAGAGCCTCAGCGGGAGTCACGCGCGCTGGTGACTTGATCTTGCACTTCTGACCTCCAGAACTGTTGAACAATTACTTTCTGTTATTTAAGCCCTCGGTCTGTAGTAGCACATTACTGTGGTCCTAGGAGACATACATAATTGTTGGTTTAGGCCATGGTAAAAAAAATACTATGAGCCAGGTGTGGTGGCGCACGCCTGTAATCCCAATCCCAGCACTCGGGAGGCTGAGGCAGGAGGATCACTGTGACTTCCAGACCAGCCTGGGCTACATAGTGAGTTCCAGGTCAGTCTCAACTACATAGTGAGACCCTGTCTCAAAAATCCAAAAAAAACAAAAAACAACAAAAAAACTCCAACCAACCAACCAAACAAAACAACAACAAACTATAGATTTAGTGGATTGCAAATAACAGAATGTTATTCCTTACAGAACTCAAAGGTAGAAAACATCCAAGATCAAGTATCCAAGATATGGCATTTGGTGAGGACCCGTTTTTTGGTTCCTAGATGATTGCTTTCTCACTAAAATCTTGCATGGCGGTGGGGTAAAGGGGCCCTTTCTTGTAAGAACACTAATCCCATATATAAAGGCACTGTCCCCATGACCTACCTAATCACCTCCCATAGGTTCTGTCTTCTTATGCCATCAGTTTGGGGATGAAGATGTCAACAGATGCATTTAGGGGGAACACAAACATTCGAACCACTGCCAGAAGTAATTCCAAGATTTCCCAGAGGTTCTTTTGTCCCACGCACCCCTCCATAGCTGGACGCCATGTTTCTTCCTCTTGAGTTTGCACAGGGCTGTGGCTATGGGCGAAGTGACCCCGAGGGCCCCAGATGACACTGAGCAGCTGGTGGTCACCTTTGTTTCAAGAGTAGCTGGTGGAGTGAGGCACTTTTGTCTTAGAGGAGCCTTGTGTCTTGCGCTGTCTCGCGCCCGTTCTCTCTCTGACAAAGAGCATTCTTGGTGAATCTTAGCTGCCAAGCCAAGCCCACAGGCCTTATCATTCCTCTTGCCTTTCTGGCCAGTAGCAGAATCTGCCCAGCAGAGGGGTGGTTGGGGGGGCCCTGCAGACACAGAGCATCTCGATCACACGTCGTCGGGTCACGGCTGAAAATACATCCAGGACTTGTCATTGCTCCTCCCCCGCGCGGACAGATGTGGGATGGGGAACTGAGCTTCATTCCCTCTCCCGGTAACTCACACATGTGTTTGTGAAAGAGGAGTGGCGCCTCTCAGCTAACCCTGCCCCAAAGGAAGTCCTTTAGTGCAAGAGACCTTCCCCCTCGTGGGCACTGACGCAGCTACCAGCCCATGAACTGGTCCCCATTGATATGGTCGGAGCTTTTTGACCCCTGCTGGTCTCACAGAGGTAAAATGCTGCTCCTTGCCCTTTGCAAGTCGATTCATGCAGTGAAACAATGAAAAAGGTGAGAGCTAACCTCAACCACAGTGACAGCCTGAGCCCGATTTTGTGTTTGCAGGTTTAACCCTGCTGTCCTAGGGCCACTGTCTGCCAGGGCTACCACACGCGCTGGAAATGCCTGGGCCCCTCCAGACCCCGCAGAAGATGGTGCTGGCCTCTGGAGCAACAGAATTTAGACGAGGGTCACACACTTTAATCAATATATTTTCCTACCCTTGCGCAATTGTTCCCCATCTCTGTCCCCTCAGTCTGGACCTCAGGCTCCAGCTTCTGTCCACAGGGTACAGTGGTTTCATGGATTTGGTAACTTTCATCCTTTCCCTGGGATACAACAATCTTTTTGGGGGGGTGGTGTACAGGGATCAAACTCCGGACCTTGCGCTTGTGAGGCAGACGGTGGAACCACTGAGCTAAATCCCCAGCCCTACACCAAATTCTTTTAAAGTAGCTTTAGACCAAACCTGTTTTCTGATCACAGAAATTAGGAAGCCTCATCAAACATCTTCCTGAAAGCAAGAGTAACCTAAAACTGATCCCTGCAAGTCTTGGTGTGGAGGAAGTATGGTAAGAAGGACTAGAAGTTTTCTGAGTATAAAATCATGAGGGAAAAAGTAACCGTGAGGAAGAGATGCGAGGCAGGGCCATGATTTAATCCAAACTTTTTTGATAAAAAAACAAATGCCAACTGCTATGCATAGATCAGATAGAAGAAACACGAAGGGAATAATTTCACAATAAATCTGTCAACATTCAAATGAATCTACCTGTGCAGACAACACTCTTATTGGTGCTTTTGTGTGTGAGTGTGTGGTACTGGGGATCGAACTCAGGACCTTGTACTTGCGAGGCAGGCGGTGGAACCACTGAGCTAAATCCCTGGGCCCTAGACAATACTTTTACACCATGAGGCTAAAATGAACATTTTTTTCTCATTTCAAATCTAATAAGTAATGAATTACCAACATAAAGTTAGGTGTTTTCTTTTGAAATTTTTTTTTTTACTTTGATTATCAAACAATCATTATTGTAGATATTTTCATATAGCTTAAGTCTATACTATATCTATCAGGAAAATAGGCATTCTAAATTTTTCTAGTAGCAATCACTATCACTTTTACATCAGGCCACATTTATTCATGTATATCATAGTGTGACTTTCCGGGCAAGGTGACATCACTTGCTCTTTCACAGAACATTTTTTTTAAACTTTCAGTTTTAATTGCAATTTTTATTTTAAATTTATTATTAAAAGTGGAGCACTCTATTCAGAATAATTTGATTACAGTATTTACTAGCTGAACACTAAGAACATCTTTAAAAAAAAACTACTCTCCACCTGCTTTGCAAGCTCAAGGTCCCGAGTTCAATCCCTGGGACCCAAAAACAAAACAAAACAAAAGCTCATGTTATTTCATGGTCTATTTATGAATTTAAAAAATAATATAATCCAAAATTGTAAGTTTTCTTTTTCATGTCTGTTTTCTCTGGATGTTTTGCTTATCACCAGCTTCTCATACAGTAGCTTTGAGTGGGCACACAGCAATGGTCACTGTTGCTTTAAAATGAACTGGCCAATGATATCTGTAGCTAGCAAGACTGTCACATTTTGGGCTGGGGATTTAGCTCAGCAGTTCGGTGGCCTGCCTTGCAAGCGCAAGGACCCGAGTTCAATCCCCGGTACCAAAAAACAAAAACAAAAAAACTGTCACTTTTTAAGTAAGAAATTTGTCATCAAACATTCTCTCAGATGTTTTGGAATTTTCCAATGCACCTTGGCATTTTCATGGAACTGTTCCAATATATCACTGAAACAAAATGTCCTTGTTTTTACCATTAAACAAGGATCAACTCGCAGGTCCCAGTGTTAAAACAAAAAACAAACAAAACCTCTTTATTTTCTTTTTTAATATAGTAATTCTGGTGGGACAAATAAGCAAAAGGAATAAATCATTCTGCCAAAATTTAAGCTGTAGCTCCAAATCCAAGTAGGCTTAGCTGTGGACAAAGAAAATGTGATTAAACTTTTCCTTCTTTTTGTTAAATCTGGTTGATCTCATTAGGAACCATGTAAGGAGCTCCCTCAAGAGACTCCTTCACTCCCTTGAAAGGGTTGGAGATCTAGACTCTCCAGCACTCCAGATAACACCTTCTGCCTACAGCCAGGCCTGCATGATGTCTGATTAGATGGTATCCCCCACCTCCGTTTACTTAACCTTCAGTTCTCATGAAAATTGGTTTGGTCAAGTTCCTTGCTCCCAAGGTGTCATTTTTCTGGTATTTAGACCCAGTGGGATTTAAGGATATCTCTCCTTCCCTCTCATTTAACTTAAATCAGTGCTAAGAGTCAGATCAATGCCCCAAGTCTACAGAGAATTGAGGGACCAGGAATCCAAGTGGAGGGCCAGATTTAGAAATTACAGAATAGAGGTACAGGGATTTAGCTCAGTGGTGCCGCCACCTGCCTCGCAAGCTCAAGGACCCGAGTTCGACCTCTGGTACCAAAAAAAGAGAAAGAAATTAGAGAATAGAGACCGTGTCCACCCTGAGGTTCTGTCTGAACTGCCTTGCCTCATTTATCTTGACATTTACCAACCATCAAGACCTGCATCCTCAGAAAGTGTGAGGTCTGTTGATGGGGACATTTCTTGAACTATTTAGTCTGGGCTTGTCAACCTGAATACAATAAAAGAGAGACAGGACGGAGACAGAGACGAGAGGCGGGTGTCCTCTAAAG